CAAGGCGTTTTTGTTAGTCAAACTAAAAATATTATTATTTATTAATTAACAGTGGTAGAGCCAAGCGGTAGCTTTTGCTGTCGCACGGATGGGCCAGCTAGAATCGGGGTGGTACCACGACCTCACACAATACCAGCGTGAAGTAGAGGTTTACCTTTGCGTTGCGCTTGGTAAGTGCAGGTGGCCGGAGGCCGAATTCCCTCCCCCCATCAATATGGTAGTAGATTTAAATAAAAGACTACCCCGGGAGGGTAATAGCACCCCTGGCGAATCCCGCGCTGAGCAGCCACGACCAAACTACTTCACTCCAGAGCGTGGGTGCTCAGGCTGCCCCACGTATTCTGGGGGGGCAAAATTCTGCTCGTGCCTAATGCTGCTCGAGGCAAGCGGAGCAATACAACCAAGGCGACCCCTGTCACGCTATCCGTGAATTTTTGCAACATCAGGGGACTTCATTCCAACCTTAACGCTGTCCATTACCATCTAGAGACGGCGAAACCGGCCTTGTTCTTTTTAACCGAGACTCATGTGTCCTCTCCGGCTGATACTTCATATCTCTCCTACCCGGGGTATAAATTGGAACACTCTTTTGTGCCCCGGTCTGGAGTTTGCGTATACGTCAGAGAGGACATCTGTTTTCGACGCCTCGGCAGTCTTGAAGGTACGGACCTGTCCATCCTACGGCTGCACGTAGACAGCTATGAGCGTCCCCACGTCTACGGGTTCCATAGGTCCCATAGCGGTAATGCTGACACAGACTGACTCATCGACCACGTCCAAATGGCTGCAGACTCCGTGCTACAACAGGTCCCATCCGCAGAGATCGTGATACTCGGTGATTTTAACGCCCACCACGCTGAATGGCTTGGTTCTCGTTTAACCGATCATGCGGGTAGAACTGTCTATGAATTTGCTTTGGCATATGGTCTAACAGAACTGGTTACTTCGCCTACGCGGATCCCAGATGTGGAAGACCATGTACCTTCCCTGTTGGACCTTCTGCTGATCTCTCATCCGGACGGATAGCAGCTCTCCATCGATGCCCCTCTGGGATCTTCGGAACATTGTCTGATTCGGAGTACGGTGCCACTCACGCTCCAATCGCAGTTGCGATCTGCAGCTTGCCGCCGTGTTTGGAACTATAGGTCAGCTGATTGGGACAAGATGCGGTCTTTTTTTGCATCCTACGCTTGGGGGTGGGTTTGCTTCTTGCCGATTCTGTTGCTGATGTGGTAATTCAGGGTATGAAACTTTTTATTCCATCCTCTGTGGTGCCCATCGGAGGCAGATCCTAGCCATGGTTTGGTCGCTCCTGTAAAATAGTATCACGCTATAAGCAGGAGTGCTACCGGGCCTGGGCTGACGCATCAAAGTCTCGGGATGTAAACACCAGCACACTTAAAAAGCAGTATAATTCCGCCTCCAGGTCCTTCAAAAGCGTCATTGCCAAGGCAAGGTCTGAGCACATCAGCAGAATTGGAGAGAAGCTAGTTCGCCTTCCTTCGGTAACCCGTACTATCTGGTCTCTTGCCAAGGCTGTCCAAGGGAACTTCTGTACGCCATCTCTTTCATCTCTGTACAGAGAGGACGACTCACTGACCCATGCCGCTAAGGAGGAAGCCGATCTGTTGAGCTCTCTCTTTGCATCCAACTCGAGTCTAGATGACGGGGGGAACAGACCGCCGACCATCCCGCGATGTGAGTGCTCCATGGCGGATGTGCGGTTTACACGTCGCTCGGTTCGTAAAGCACTCTTCTCCCAGGACGTCAGCAAATCGAGTGGGCCCGATGGAGTCCCTCCCATTATGCTGAAGACGTGTGCTCCGGAGTTGGCACCGGTTTTAACGCGTCTTTTCCGGTACTTCTACTCCCAAGGCGTAGTCCCGAATTCATGGAAGACAGCTTTGATCCACCCGATCGCTAAAAAAGACGACCGCTCAGACCTGTCCAACTACAGGCCCATTCCATCACCTCCTTGTTCTCCAAAATAATGGAACCCATTATAAACCACCAGCTCATGAGGTACTTTGGGGATCACCAGCTGATTAGTGACCGCCAGTATGGTTTTCGTCGGGGTCGATCAGGTGGTGATCTTCTAGTCTACTTGACTCATAGATGGGCGGAGGCAGTAGAATCCAAGGGGGAGGCATTGGCCGTTAGTTTGGACATTGCGAAGGCCTTCGATCGGGTTTGGCACAAAGCGCTTCTTTCGAAGCACCCTTCCTATGGGCTTCCCGAGAAATTGTGCAATTGGATCACCAGCTTCCTTGCAGATCGGAGCATCAAGGTCGTTGTAGACGGTGCATGCTCCGACTACAAGCCTATTAACGGTGGTGTTCCACAAGGCTGCATGCTATCACCAACGCTGTTTCTCCTGCATATCAATGATATGTTGATAACTGGTAGCATTCATTGCTATTTTTATTTATTTATTTAATTAATTACAACGGTTTTACTTCAATTACAGTAATTAATAATTTTGAAAGGCACATGAGAATAAACTATGCTATAATTAAAACTATACTATGAAAAATACAAATTATATATCATTGCTTTCGCAAAATCGTAAACAAGCTGACAACAGCACATTCCAACTATCCGCAAATATATCAAAGTCGGGTGCAGCCCTCACAAGATCGTTGATTGCGCTGTGCATTCGACACAGTAGGGAATTAGCGCGACAGCGTGCGCGATGATGCTGTCGCGAATATCTGTCTGGCGAGATGGCCTATTTCGCAAGTAGTGGGCAGGCACATAGATCTTGTATAAGGTATTGTGAAGTTCAGGGGCATCTATTACGCCTCTTAGAATTTTGAGTGCAATGATAATTATGTTGCGAGAACGACGATCTGCAAGAGAATTATACCCTAAGGTACCCAACAAAAATTGTGTGGGATATAAAAACGGGTAGTATCCGTTATTTTTTTTATAAAGGAAATGTAAGAAGGCCTTTTGAACTTTTTCTATGGTCAAAACATACTTAGACTCATAAGGATTCCAAACACATGCCGCTGATTCCAATTTACTCCTCACTAACGTGTTAAATAATTGTTTGATAACTTCTGTATTTTGAAATTCGCGGGAATTGTGCAAAACGAATCCGAGGCGTTTATAACAGTCAACAACCAAGGCGGATATATGGGCATGAAAAGTTAAGCTACAATCAAAAGTCACGCCAAGATCTTTTATGGTTGTCATGCGCGTTAGAGTAGTGTCTCCTAAAGTGTAGGTAGCTTGTAGAGGCTGTAGTTTGCGAGTAAAAGTCATAACATAACATTTACTCGTGTTGAAAAACATTTTATTGTCAATACTCCACTGGTAGACCCGATCGATGTCACTTTGGTGATGACTGTGATCGACATTTTCATTTATTTTAAGTGTCAGTTTTAAATCGTCTGCGTGAAGTAAGCATTTAGCATGCTTAACGAAGCTAACAAGATCATTGATCATAATAAGAAATAGGAGTGGACCGATTACCGATCCCTTAATAATTCCGGAGCGAGTATGGTATGATTGGGATAAGTAACAAACATGGGTAACATATTGGCGCCGGTAGAGAAGATAATTTGAAAAAAAAGGGATAGTAGTTTTGGCGTAAATCCTATAGCGCATAACTTTAGTAACAGTATGTCGTTGTCCACTTTATCAAACGCCTTTTTAAAATCGAGGTATAGCACATCTACCTGCCTACCTTTATCTCGACTCTGCGAAATGTAATCCACAAGCGAAAGAAGATTACTCTCTACTGAGCGACCAGGTCGAAAACCATGTTGTTCGTCGCATAAATAGGATTTTAACTGTTCGTAAATGACCTTATGTACAATATGTTCCAAGACCTTGGCAGGGGATGAGAGAATCGCAATGGGGCGATAATCCTCAACAGAGGACCTGTTACTAGTTTTTGGAATGGGGGTGACACGAAATAGCTTCCACTGTTCGGGATAAGTGCCACTATGCAGAGCCAGATTAAATATATGACAAAGGGAGGGTGCAATATGTTCCTTACATCCTTTTAATATATAAGTAGGAATCTTATCGGGACCGACAGAACTACCGGATTTTAATTTGTTGATACCAGCTTTGACTTCTGATAATGTAAAGTTGCGTATGTTTACATACAAAACTTGTGGTGCGATGTTAGCGGTACATACTTGATTAGGATCTATAATGGGGTTATTTGGTGGGAATACACTTGAAAAATAGTGCGCAAATGCATCAGCTGTTTCAGTACAGGAGAATTTTTTTTTTTTATAAGTCACTGGGTTCATAACCGCCCTTGAATTGCAAGTTGGCAATGTGCTGCCAAAACTTTTTTGGGTTAGACTTAATATTCATTTCGATAGCTATTATGTATGATTTGTAGGCTAACTCAATGCGGTTCTTTAAATTCGAACGTAATCTAGAGAAAGCATTATAAACAGTAACCATGTTTTTTCCATTGGTGATGAAGTCTTATTTTACGATTGATATCCTTTATGATATCAGCAGAAAACCAGACTGGGTAACGTTTACAATTTAATTTAGATCTCCGTTTTTTGGGTACACAAACATCAAAGACATTGTAAAGTATTTTGTAAAATTCAGCTGTCGCCAAATCAACATCATCTGCGTGAATGACGTTACACCAATTTGCCTTAGCCATCTGATCAAACAGTAAAAGAAAATCAGCTTTATTAAAATACCAGTCAGTTTTTGGATCAAAGTTACTGGGTTCAATATATTCGCTACTTTTAGGTAAATTTAGTTTTATCTCTACGTCTAGTGGGGATGATAGGGATCGATATTAACAATACCACCTATCTCAGCGGCATTTACTTGCACCGCACAATCAACAGTCCTTGAAAGTACTACATCCAACTTACCTCCAAATATATTAAAAACAAAATTAGTATCACAAATGCTGCAAAATGATAAAAAATAACAATAACAACTACAAACATTTTTTGAGGCACTATTTAGGTTAAGATCACCGAGAATCAATACAGTTCCATTAAGGTCATTTATAAAGCTTTCAACCAATCAAAATAGACCGCATCCGTAGCACTGGGTGGTATGTATACGACGCAGACATTTACATTGATGCCATGAAAATTAAATTTAATCCAGACGTCTTCGCCATTAAGGGTTTCTAAATTATGTTGTCTAACAGGCGTGATACTAGGTTTAGTGGAAAGCAATACCCCTCCTCCATAAGTTCTTCTATCACGCCGTATGAGACTCCATCCACCGCATACAACCTCAGCGTCTTCCACGGATGAATCTAGGAAAGTTTCAGTCGCAGCGACGATGGTATACTCTAGGATTAGTAGATTGGTTTTCCATGTATGCAGTTTCGTTTTAATACCACCGACGTTTTGATAAAAGATGTTTAGTACCGCTTTACTGTTAAAGGATCTCGGTGAGTTCGATCCAAACCTTGCAGAGATAGTTGCATGATTATTGTTTTTGCCTTCCATGACTTGTTGTAGGAAAGGAAAACCAAGGTTTAATTTGGGCGTTATCCGGCCAAATTTCAGCAGACAGGATCCTGTCGTAGAAAGCAATCGGTACACCATGCTTGTACAATCTATAGTCTCTTCTGGTTTTAATTTCCTCGACAGTACATTTTCCATGAGTACAAAATTGTTGCAAGTAAGCCAAAATTTCCTCAGGTCCCGATTCCATGTTCCATAAATGTACGAATTTCCTTTCCTCAACAGCTTTTAAGGTTGTGATACCAGGACCGCCTGTGCATTTGATGAGGTGTTTCTTTTATTTTTGTTCTTACTGGTCACTATCTTCCAGGGCTCAATGTTAGTAATATTACAGGTGGTGGAAAGAGTTACATCGCTTTTAGTTGACTGAAGGCTAATAAGTGACTCGGGAGGGGCAGGTTCTATATGAGTTTCAATTGATTTGTTTATTATATTGTTGTTTGTATAAGGCTGAGTAGTTTTAGTGTTATTTTCCATAGCTTGCGAGGTATCAATAGCTGAAGTTTAGGAGTAGTTGGCTGATCAAACGGATTCTGCTTAGTGGAATTCTGAGTTGATTTATGGTTCTTAAGCTTTTGAACTTTCGATGTATTTTTGGATTTACAACCTAAACCAGTACTAGGTTGTTGAGATTGCAAGTGTGTTGTTGTGCATACTTGATTTTGTGTGCCTCTGTTTTCGATTATAGTAACTTTATCGGTGAGAGTAGTTCTTCTGGTTTTAATTTCCTCGACAGTACATTTTCCATGAGTACAAAATTGTTGCAAGTAAGCCAAAATTTCCTCAGGTCCCGATTCCATGTTCCATAAATGTACGAATTTCCTTTCCTCAACAGCTTTTAAGGTTGTGATACCAGGACCGCCTGTGCATTTGATGAGGTGTTTCTTTTATTTTTGTTCTTACTGGTCACTATCTTCCAGGGCTCAATGTTAGTAATATTACAGGTGGTGGAAAGAGAAAAACTTATCCTTGCAGTCGTCAATTTTTTCATGACATTTATGGATATAATGGAGTAGTTCGATGAATTTTGTGTTCAGCTTAGAAATTTGTTGTTGTAATATTTTAAAATTCGAGGTGATATTACATGTTTCCTCAACAGAGTCTACTTTAAGTGATACAGATGGTATTTTACAAATGGTAATATTGGACTCGCGTACAGGAATAGGTGATCCAACTGGAATCTCAGAGTTATTACCACCCCTCTTCGCAGTACAGCGACATTCAGGGAAAATTCAGAAAGACCTCTCATCTAATGTTAATGTCTGATTATTGCATAAGTAATGATAAAGCTTGCCACATGATTCATTCATATACTGGAGAAATTCTTCTCCGGGTATTAGATTTCTTTCGCATGCTACGCACATCATTGTGTTAGTTTAAGTAAACTATATCGAGTTCCAACAAAACGTATTAAAAAGGCGCGGTGAAGCGGTGGCGGGATGTGTGACGCTCGAGGTGGCGAGAAAAAGGTCGTAGTCTTATGCGTTCGTCCGAGACACTTCACTTATCACAAATCGTTATTAATTTGAATATTTTCCAAGTGATAGATTGTCAATTGTATATGTAACACAGTTAACGTTCTTTGTTGTTCAAATTAATGGAAAAAAATTCACTGTAATTGGTTTAACACAATACTATACAAGTTTATCGACAGTGTATTTAGAAAATTAACTCGAAACAGTAACGTTAAACAAGATTTTAACGATTAAATGTGCGGAGCGTTTAGTTATATCAACCGCTCCAAAACCTATAAACCTATATCCTATGAGGACGACAGCACTGGTAATGCCTTATATACCGGCCGTGCCAATATTTCTAGGGAAAACGTGGCCGAGTACCAGGACAAACTTGTGTCTGAAGTCGAGTCTTTGCTTAACAAAGTCTCGGTTTGGGGGCGAATAAATCTAGTCTAGTTCAATCCCCAGAAGACACAAGTTTGCGCGTTTACCGCTAAAAAGAACCTCCTTGTCGTATCTCTTCAGTTAATAGGCACTCCCCTTGCTGCCTCAGCTAGTATCGGAATCCTTGGCGTCGACATATCGAATAGTGTGCATTTTCGTGGTTACTTGGAAGGGAAAGCCCAATTGGCCTCTAATAATCTTGGCGTGCTCAGCAGAGCGAGACAGTATTTCATGCCGGCACATCGCTTGCAACTTTACAAAGCGAAAGGTCGGACCCACATGGAATACTGTTCTCATCTCTGGGCAGGGGTACCCCAGTGCCAGCTCCTTCCACTTGACTGCATCCAGCGCAGAGCGGTTCGAATCGTCGACGACCGAGTTCTTTCTGATCGGCTCGATACACCGGCACTGCGTAGAGATGTTGCATCTCTCTGCGTATTTTATCGCATCTATCTCGGGGAGTGCTCTGAGGAATTGTTCGGACTAATTCCAGCCGTATAAAAGCTTTTAGAAATTTTTTTTTTACTTCGCTAATATACCAGCACCGCTACTCCCTCGGATTAGTGGTGACGGGGATAGTGCACGCTATTGACGGAGGGCGGGAGGTGCTCTTCATACTAGGTAAGACACATCATTTTATTTTATAACGCGCATATTTGCGAAGTAAAATTTTTCTAAAAGCTTTTATATAATGGATTTCCGCAAAGTAACACCTGATTCTATTAATTATAATTCCAGCCGCTCAATTTCACCATCACACATCGCGACAAAACTCGCGTTATCATCCATACCATCTGGACGATTCGCGTTCCACAACTGTGCGATTTAGAAGAAGTTTTCTCCTTTGCACAACTTCCTTGTGGAATCAATGACCACCAGTGAATTTTCCGGACCAATACCTTCCTGCCTCAGCTAGCGTTGCCGCCCCTGTGTGGTTGTGTTAGCCGCGCTCGCCGTCCCCGTACGGTGAGTGCCTTCCCGTCTCCGATAGCACCGCCGTCCCTGTGTAGTTGTGTTAGATGCCCGTGCTCAACGTCCCCGTACTTGAGTGCATTCCCGCTCATGCGATTCCCACATTAGCACTCCTTAGCACCGCCGCCCCCGTGCGGCTCGTCCTCCGTACGGTTGTGTCCCACACCCCCCTTCCTAATGGTCCTAGTCCCAGTTCCACAGGTGGTGTTTAGTAGGTAGTGTGGCACTTCGTAGTGAGTGCCACATAACCACGTAGCCGGCTGCGTGGTATGCTATAAGCATTCACCACCTCTCTCCTACGCTCCCGGAGGGAAGCCTTTTTTGGGCGCAAAAAAAAACTAAGAGGTAATCCTATGAGTCTCTCTGTCGTTACTATGCCCGTTAGGGTATTCTTACAGTGTAGGCAAGGAAGATCATGTTGCTGAAAAGCTGCCCTGTGTTGCTGTTAGTTAGAATGCTTAAATGTTATCATGTAATTGGGTGCTTTACGTTTGTGTGTTTATGACGGAAGCTACGGTTAGTAGATCTGTATTCCTGTTGATAATGATTGGTTGCCTAAGCAGGAAAGCAAGTTGAGCATACGTCCTCACACCCATATTATCCTTAGCGTTTGGCCTCCAGAATGGTTTCTGATAGTAAGGAGGGTTTCTTACCAAGTAACATTCTTTTATATAAATAATATTGGCATCCATAAAGGTGTCAGACAGGGCTGTGTGGCTTCCCCGTGGCTGTTCAACCTATTTATGGACAGTTGTTTGGAAAATTTGAAAGTAGAAGAATGCGGGTTAAGGATGGGTGAGTTAACCGTCAAATGCCTTTTGTACGCCGATGATCAAGTCATATTTGCATCGTCGGCAGCCGAATTGCAAATGATGGTTACATTAATGAACAGGACATTAAAAGAAAAGGGAATGAAAGTGAACGCAATTAAGACGAAAGTTATGGTTTTTGAAAGAGAAGAAAGTAAAACGATATGTGAAATAAGAATAGAAGGGAGTTGATGATAGGGATATAGAACGACGAGTGAATAGAGGAAATAGAGTGAATTGGGCTCTACACCCTATTGTGAAAAGTCAGAATGTGTCCAAAAAGACACGTATGGCAATTCACAATGTTGTGTTAGTACCTACTTTTAATGTATGGTAGTAGAAGTTGGGTGTGGCAGAAGAAGCACGAGAGTAGAATAAATGCTGTAGAAATGCGGTCATTAAGGAGTATTTTAGGGATGAATCTGAATGACAAAGTGAGAAATTGTTTAATAAGAGGAGAGTGTGGTTTGCAAGATGATGTTGTGACCAGGATTAAGAAAGGAATGCTTCGGTGGTTTGGTCATGTAGAAAGAATGAATGAGGAAAGAGTGACAAAGCAAATTTATGTTGCAGAGGTGAACGGCAGAGTCGAGAAGGGTCGCCCTAGGCGAAAGTTTATCGATCAAATTGGCGATATATTGAAAATGGGCCAAATCAAGTGTACCTTTAACCGACGAGCGTGTATGCGTAGGTATATGGATATGGAGGAAGCGAGAGAGGTGTGTCAGGATCGTGCCAAATGGAAGTTCATAGTCTCTGCCTACCCCTCTGGTGCCCCTCTGGGTGGCAGGCGTGAGTGTTTATGAGTGTTTATGTATGTAATATTGAGAATAATTTCTAACATCAAAAGTGAAATAGTTTCTTACATCAGAAGCTTTTTCTTGTAACTAGACTTTACATACATAACTTGTGCGTGTGTCTGTGTGTGTGTGTGTGTGTGTGTGTGAAAGAGAAAGAGATTATGAGTGAGTATGTATGTGTATGTAAGTGCACGTGTGTGTGTGTGTGTGTGTGTGTGTGTGTGTGTGTGTGTGTGTGTGTGTGTGTGTGTGTGTGTGTGTGTGTGTGTGTGTGTGTGTGTGTGTGTGTGTGTGTGTGTGTGTGTGTGTGAGTGTGTCACTCTGCCAGCCCTACAATTTCAGTCTTGGGATAGGGGTTAGCCATTGTGAAGAGTGGCTATGTAAGTGGGGGCGTATGTGTGAGCCTGATTAAGTGTATGGAAATTACACAAGTGTATCTATGACTTTCTCTATTTCATCATAACTTTAATCTCATAAGAAATAAGTTAATATAACTTTTCAGAGTGTATATTAAGTTTTCCATTTAAAGTATTATATAAGTAATTATCGGACCGTGATGTCAGTTGACGACGAGCAAAGGCATATGTACATATGACTTTTATTGACATTAACTTTACTGGGGTCGAAAAGTAGTTTTTGTTGAAGGTAAAGAAGAA